GGCCTGAAGTCATGATCTTGGATGCTGGATCACGTTTAACGGTTCATTTTCCTATATCAAAGTTAATACCATTTTATTATATAATTAATTACTCTTAGTAATACTGTACACCTTGACTTCTGTGTGTTGTGGGTTGCTTCCTAATTTTCTGTTAGTGCTTTTCCATTTTCGAACTTTCTTTCTTGTATTCTTACCTTGATAAGATAATTTCCTTCTGATAACTCTCTTCCGAGTGATTTTTCTGTTTCCTTCGGACATTTTTGGCAAGTGCACATTTTTTCTCTGCGAGTGATTTACCAATTTCCTAAGCATGAGTATTCAAGAATTTGGGCCAGAAAAATAGAATAGCTACTCGTATTCAGTTGGACGTTTTTGGTTGGTTTGATTTAGGTAGTATTTCTTATCGCTATATGCGGGGGTCTAGGACACTTCGCCGAATGCCTACAACGCCGACACGATTTTTTTTTAAGGTCCATATCGCCGACTAGGGACACTACGCCGACCGTGCCCACATCGTCGACAAGTGTGCAAGGGACACAACGCCGATCATGCCCACTTCGCCGACGGACACTACGCCGATCGTGCCCACATTGCCGAAACGTGTGCAAGGGACACTAGGCCGAACGTGACCACAACGCCGACTGTTCGAAAATCCAGGCCCCTCATACTCTGTCCAGTGTATGAGTTTGCATTTTAAAAAGTTTAAAAAACATGTCCTAAACCTACAAATAACCTAATATCCAAAGCTGCTTTGCTTCACACTCCGTCCAGTTTGATTAAGAATTTTCGTAGAGTCTGTAGTTCGAAAAAAGTTAAAAAAAAATATTCTGAACCTACAATAACCTAACGTCAAAAGCTACTTGGTGTTGCACACCGTCCAGCTTGATTAAGAAGTGTTGTATGAGTCGACGTTATGGTCACGTTCGGCTTAGTGTCCCTTGTTCACTTGTCGGCGATGTGGGCACGGTCGGCGTAGTGTCCGTCGGCGTAGTGTCCCTAGTCGGCGATATGGACCTTCAAAAAATGGTGTCGGCGTTGTGGGCATTCGGCGAAATGTCCCGGCCTCATATGCGGACCTAAAAAATCGCTTCATCTCCAGCTACCAACTTAGAGGTTCGTGCTTACCTTTTAGTTAAGTGTCTATATCAGTATAATCTTTTAGCTTCATCGTATATGTAAAAATTTAGAGCCTCGTCTTCCGATTTTACTTCGATCTTTTCTTCTACGTGTTGTTGCTGTCCGATTTACGTTCTCCGTTGGCTGTCGTCGTGTGTAATTGTGATATCGACCTGCCTTTGAACGCCTACACCAACTTTAGTTCTGTAACACCAAAGCCAATTCAGAGTACATTAAAGGAGTCAAAGGTCAGCGTTGTGTGTGATGTACGTCATTATTTACCTACCTACAAGAGTGAAGATTGTCTAACCCAACACCTACTTCCTTATCCTTGCTCCCTTAATTCCTTCAGTTTCCTTTTCTTCTCCGGGTATCGAGAGCTTCCTAATTCCATCTCCGTAATCTCGTCTGTGACAGAGGAACCGATACTCAACATGGATCAGGTGCAAAGTCAGCCTTGTGACGCCATACGTGTCCTCACCTGCTGGAATTGCTACCAATCATGACACAAATCGCAAAACTGCACACAGCCACGTCGTCTCCATTGCTACAAGTGTGTAAAACCCGACGTAACTCGTTCGTATATGCCCCAAGTGTTCGGGAAACGAACAACCGAGGAACTAAATGACCGTACGTCCTCCCCAGGAGCCCAACACCAACCGGTCAAATCTGATGAAAATCCCCGCTGCGTAATCGACACATTTGGCCCTCGTCAACAAATTTTGCTGGATTATATTCTTGCGCATGCAAAGGGAGACGAGCGTCCATACCTACAAATTACTATTTTGGATTATCCCTTATTAGGGCTGCTAGATTCCGGAGCATGCCGTACATTGATAGGTTCTCCAGGACTACAGAATTTTAGGCAACTTGGTTTAGCTATTATGCCTAAGGAAACACATGTCACCGTCGCTAATGGACAATCATGATCAGCCATCGGACCAATCACTATCCCAATGAATCTAATGGGAAAAATTAAACTAATAGGTGTACTTGTCGTTCCTGAACTAGATCATACCCTATTCTAGGAATCGATTTTTGGCGCGCAATGGATATTTTACACGACCTCAGGAAAGACCTCTGGCATATCACGAATTCCAATGGATATCGCTACCATCTCTTCACTTCATAATGATGATGTGTTACTGGCAGAACAACGTTCCCAATTAAATCGACTCCTAACAGAGAAATTGAATCAAGTATCTGCTGGTTTAGGCCTATGCCGAGTTGCAGAGCATGTAATCGAACTCAACTCTGGAGTCCAACTCATTATGCAACGATATTACCCTGTCTCACCTCATAAACAAAGGATCACCGATGAGCAGCTGGAAGAAATGTTACGTCTAGGTGTTATTGAACCATCATCGAGTCCATGGCCCAATATGTCTATTCCCAAATACGGACGACACATATCGTTTTTGCGTAGACTTTAGACGGTTGAACGCATGCAGTAAGAAAGATGCGTACCCCCTGCCACACATAAATTCGATATTGGACCAACTGAGAGACGCAACGTATTTAAGCAGCATCGATATCAAATCCGCCTATTGGAATATACCACTATCTCAGTCGTCTAAGGAGTACACCGCCTTACCATACAACCCATTTTCAAATGAATTATATTTATAAAATGCTAACAAATTAACTAAATGTACGAGCCTGATGTAGATTATTTATATTTTTTCAGCAAAACCGATATGTTTATCTTCATTTGACCTAAAAATATAATATAGATATTATTAACGAGCTCCTAGCGAGTTTATAATTTTGCGGTGTCTGTCCGTCCGTTAGCACGATATCTCAAATACGAGTGCACCGATTACGATGAAATTTTTCAGGTGGATTCTTTATCAAATTTGTAGATCGGAGTTCGTGAATTGGCAATGTAGGCCAAAAAATTAGGAAAGCCCTGTTGACATATCCGTTACTTATGAACCGCATTGCATGACATTCAAAATGAGCAGAGCTTTAGCCATTTAATACATAATGCCAAGTCAAGCTATACCTAGGAGCTCGTTTGCTATGCAGGACAATTACAAGTATTTCAGGAACGGTTTGGAGTTTTTATTCGGGACCCAAAACGCGAAATTTTCAAAGTGAAACCATATCTTTACTATGCATTAATGGAAACGGACACAAAAATAGAGTAAAAAAAGTGTCCACTTTAGAAAAATTTTGCAAGTACATACATTGTTTTGCCCGTTTTTTTATACACTTTCCATTGATGCATACTAAAGATATGGTTTTGAAAATTTCGAGTTTTTGACCAAAAACCGATTGTCAACTTTGAACGATTATTATTTGTATTATTTTCGAATCACATTTGAAAATCAAACCAATTACATTTAATACCGTGGATTTTTAGCTGTCCCTTCTTGAAAAACTTTTTGCTAAGTTGTCAGACAACAGTGATATGGCTAATTTACTTAAGCTCTGAAACTGTGAAAAAATGTCACATAACTTCGAAACCATGTCAGTTAGACAGAATCATATTGACAAAATCATACGGATTTGTATGAGGAATTCAAAAATGCGATCAGAAAAGATAGTGCCATTTGAAATAAGAATAAATTCCGGTATCGTTCTGATACAACCGGAAAAACGGCCATCTTGAAAATATTTTTTAAATTATTCCTTTTGATCGGTTATTCAAAAAAGGTAATGGGTCTCGAATCCAAATTCCAATCCGTTCCTGAGATACTTCTAATGGTCCACTTAAAAACATTACACTGTTTTTGTTTAATTTATCAGTATATTAAAATACCAGGAAAATACTTATACAGGGTGTTACATAAGTATGTAAAAAAAATTGGTTGATAGAGGGGTCAAAACAAGCACTTTTTCCAAATAATCCGAGGGTCCAACGTGTTTCTTTTGGGAGCCACCCCCACAAAAGTGATGAAATTTGTATTTCTCCTTTAATTTTTTTCTCAGAAACCATAAGACTGGTGGCTCCTCTTTGAATAGGATTTCGAGTATGCCTTTTCGATTTTGCAAAATTATCACCTTTAAAGGCATTTTTTGTCAAATGTAAAAATCGAGGTAAAAATCTTAATAAATTTTGAGGTTTTGTTTTACTGATTCGAGCGGATGATAGAACAAGAGTGATTACACCTAATCGATAGAGAATTTTATGCTCTACAAAAAGATTGACATTTAGAGGTGGCTCGCCCTCCCCTGATAGAATAGTGGGGGGGGGGGGGGGAGAGGGCCATCCTTCTAAAAATGTTTGTGTTGGTGCAATATACAATTTCGAACGCCCTATAGTCGCATTTTGCGACTGTATGCGCTGTAGGTATAAATTTATCTGGTAAACAACCTTTTAGATTAATACATTTTTTCGTGAAAATTAACTGCCAGATAAGTTTAACGGAGACGAGAGCCCGGTCCAAATTACAGTATTATTAACCGACTGTAGGACAAATCCTGCATTATTTTTGGAGCCCTTATCTTTATGTGCGCTGTAAGATTAATCTAAGAATAACTCGTATTCGTGGGATCACTTCAACGTTTATTTTATATAAAAAAATTAACATTATCCCTAACAAATCATAAACAGTCGTATCTTCAGTGTTATACTCCGTTTCATTAATTATTTTTGTTTACATAAATCAAATAAATAAATAAGAATGTTTATGTTAATATTTCCCCAATTATATATACGAGTATAACGTTATTTCAGTTGCCGAGAAGGAATATTCGACGCTGGTTATAGGCGGTGAATTCAAAGCGTACCGAGGGTATGTGATAGTCACCAACTTCATGGGTGGTAAGAGCCGAAAGAGCAGAAATGTGGCGGTATTAGCGCTTTGTCATGTCTTGCTAGAAAGTGGATATACGAGTTAGAGGGGAATCGAGCAAGCGCAGATTATACAGGCGAGATTCGTAGCCGAGTTGACTTCAGTTGCGTTAGAATACTCGCAGAATCTTGTTTGTTACAGTCTAGTGAATGAAACGTCCTTTAATTTAATTCCATTGTGTGCAAAAACGTTTAATTTGTTGTGTTTGTTGTAATATACTGTGAGATACATCCAAATGGTGGTGTTAGACGGCAACACTATGTTAACCCCCTCTGGAAATCAGTACTTGCAACCCGATTATCTATCACCTTTGCCGACTACGGTAAGTATCCCACAAATTACCCCTAATTTCAGTTGATCTCCATTTTCTTCTGGCCGATTTTATTAAAATTCTTTTTATTTATTTACAGTTGGACGCGAAGAAAAGCCCGTTAGCGCTACTAGCTCAAACTTGCAGCCAGATCGGTGCAGATTCACCATCCACCAAACCACTATTATCAGCGCTAGAGAAACCTAAAAAGTCAGCTAGCAATGAAAATGTTACACGCTCTTCACCCGCCCACGTGAAGGACAAAGTGGAAAAATCAGCTCCACGTAACAGCCCTAGTGAAACAAAGCTCGCATTCAAGCCCTACGAAAATAATGTGTTAACAAAGAAATGCGACGACGGCCGCCCTGCATCTAAAAGTGGCAGTGTAAATGGCTTAGATGCCGAAGATAAAAAGGAATGTAGAACGCCAAGTAGAAAATCAGCTTCTCCCACAAATAGTAATCATAGTGCGACACCAGCTCCAGAAGCCGGAAAAGTTTCCCCCAGTGACAGTAAATCCGCATCACCATCGGCGCGTGGTGCCAGTCCGATTATTCGTTCCGGATTGGAAATTTTACAGGGCCATCCCAAAGATGTGCCCCTTGGAACGTATAAACCTGGTAGCCTATCGAGTTTAGGTGCCGGATTGGGAGGTCCCTTAAATTCCCTGTGCTGTCCACCTGGATTAGAACACACTAACCCCGCATTCCGACCACCGTTTCCCGGAGGACCGTTTTCACATCACGCGGCGATGCTAGCCGCCGGTTATCCGAGTGCAACTCCCGGTCCGTATTTAAGTTACGCGCGTGTTAAAACTCCGTCGGGAGGTGAAGCATTAGTGCCGGTGTGTAAAGATCCCTACTGTACTGGATGTCAGTTTAGTGTACACAATCAGCAATTACTAATGGCAGGTGCCACCGGCCCCTGTCCAAGTGGCTGCACCCAGTGTGACCACCAAAAGTACAACTTAGCAATGGCCGCCATGTCCTTAGTTCCTCCAGGTCCGGTGCCGCCTTCTTCATTAGGATATCCACAGTTAGGTAGACCGTATGTTTGTAATTGGATAGCTGGAGACACTTATTGCGGTAAACGATTTGGAACATCAGAAGAATTATTACAACATCTACGTACGCACACAAGCGGATCCGATGCCGCGACGAGCGCATCTGCAGCATCATCTTTACTTAATCCGCATGCACTGTTATCGTCGGCAGCTTTGCACAGAGCGGGTTATCCAAATCCACCCTTAAGCCCACTCTCCGCCGCCCGATACCATCCATATGCGAAACCAACGTTACCGTCTTCTCTTGGAGCTTCACCATATAGTGCTTTCAATCCAACGTTAGGTCCCTATTATTCACCGTACTCCATGTATGGCCAACGCATAGGAGCCGCGGTGCATCCGTAGTATTAAGGAAATGTTTCTTTGTTGTAAATGATACAGATTTTAAAACGCTGTGTCGATTCTTCTGCTGTGATAAATAAACATGTAAATATTTTCATGCTATAAAGTGCAATCTAAATGCGAGAAGTTAATTTAAGGCAATAAATAAAAAGATGTAAATTATTTTTATTTCTTACAGTTACACAAAAAAAGTCTTAAAATTTGTATAGCAATTGTAAGTATTAATTAATTATGTTGAGTTTTCAGTAATGCTTTAATAAAATGTTTGTAGAACTAATTTGAATTTCTTTAGGCCTTTAAATTCGCGAAACGTCTTTTGAATTTGTAAAATAAAGACATGAATTCACAAAGTAGCTTTTTTGATCTCATAAATTCTGCACATCGGGGTTCCATTTCTACTTTTCGTATTTTATATCCTTTTTATTACACTTTGTCACGGCCTTCCCAAGTTTAGCTTGAATAATTTTTCTTAAAAACGCACGCCCGATCATTTTTTTTCCGAATTACTCGCCCATTCTAATAAAGAAAAGCTTCAAAATGAAAAATGTGAATTTATTGGCACGAAGAGCCTAATAGCAAGAGGATGTGATAAATTGCTACAGTAAATAGCCGCATCTCCAATCTCTTGTGGATGATTGATCACCTGGACCTGTCACGGGTTAATTTATCATACACAGTCTTATGTTCACGTTCACATTAAAGTCTTGAAACGCCGCACCGCTTGTCGTTAATTGAACAGCCCCGTTTGGCACATTGCGTGTCAATATATCACTATCTGGATGTAATTTATAAAGGCTAAGCGACGCTATAAATATGTTGTCGTCATTCTTCACAAGTTTGTTTTTGTACGAATAACAAACCGTAAAACGTTCATCAAATGACCATATATCTTTCGCATGAGATCATTTTATGAAAATACTGTGTAACATGCTGTTTTAAAGGGTAGGTTGATAGATTTAGGAGGTAACAGGTGCTGGCTTAAGTGAACGACAGTAGCAAAACAACTTTGATAGCCTGTGAAGTAAATCGCTGACATTCGTTTCCATCTGACACTTAGAATTTGGCAGAGCCCATCTTATAACGTAATAGAAGTCTATTTTTATCGACTTTGATCTTTTATTAACCTATAATTTTGCTAAACTGATAGATATCACAAATTTATGTATTCCTTCAACCTCGAATTTCAAATTAATGCAAACGTCGAAAGAAGCGGTGCTACAAAAAATCAATTTGCTATATGTCTGATAAACTTTATTGCCGTTCTAATTAATGATCGGTTATTAACGGATGATTATGTAAATGTTACAATAAAACCGAATTTGACCTTTTAATTACACAACAAACATAACAGTTAGAGCCATCTTTCATTTCTAACAAAAAAAATATTTATGACTGTCGGTTGGCGTTTGTAAAAGTACCAAATTACAAAACGTTACTATAATCGAAAATTGTTTTCTTATATCTGTGTCAATATTTCAATTCGAAAATAAATCATTAAGATTAAAGAGTTCAATGTTTAGACAATAAATAATAATTTTGACATTGATTAAATGTTGAAACTTAATTCATTTGAACGTTAACTACATTCAATTTTTTATTGCACGACTGTAATTAAACTTAGTTGGTTGCAGATGTTTATTTACCACTAAGCGCATCATACACAAATCTCCCTAATGATAAATAAATGCATTGCAGGAAGGAATTTTTTCTGTACCGCTTACAAAAAAAGTTATTGTAAAAAAACAAAAAACCGTTTTTTTACATGTTCTATAATTTTACACTTTTGCCGTTTATTAACGATCCTAGAGATCGTTTATAATTTTGCGTTGCTATCTGTCGTCTGCATGCTGGTCTGTCCGTCTGTTCCTTTGTCTGTCGTCCATCTATCTGTCCGTGTGAACGATAACTTTGTTTAGAAATGTTCGATGCTTTTACATCTCCGTTAGTTATGAACTGAATTGCATGAAATTCAATATGGGCATAGCTTTAGCCATATAATACGCAATGCCAAAAGTTGAGTCGAATCGATTCAAAATTCACAGTGCCCTTTTCGCATCTCGACCATTTATAAACCGAATTGCAAACTTTTTTACTTATAAAAGTATTTGAATGAAATAAAGTAATAAAGGAAAATCAAACGCCAATTTCAAAATTTGGTTTTGCGCATGCGCAGTGCCAACTTTTTTATTTGCGGAAGAATTTACACGAAATTTGATACATATGCACTTGTAATAAAGGAAAATCAAACGCCAATTTCAAAATTTGGTTTTGCGCATGCGCAGTGCCAACTATTTTATTTATGGAAGAATTTAAACGAAATTTGATACATAGGCACTTGGGATAAAGGAAAATCAAACGCCAATTTCAAAATTTGGTTTTGGGCATGCGCAGTGCCAACTTTTTTATTTATGGAAGAATTTAAACGAAATTTGATACATAGGCACTTGGGATAAAGGAAAATCAAACGCCAGTTTCAAAATTTGGTTTTGCGCATGTGCAGGCAGTGCCAACTTTTTATTTATGGAAGAATTTAAATGAAATGTGATACATAGGCACTTGGAATAAAGGATCATCGAGCGCCAGTCTCAAAATTTTCTTTTGCGCATGCGCAGTGCCAACTTGTTTATCTATGGCACCATTTAAGTGAAATTTGATACTTAGGCGCTTGGAACAAGGGAAAATCTAACATTAGTTTTAAAATGTAGGTTTGCGCATGCGCAGTTCCAACTTTCTTATTTAGAAAAGCATTGAAATGAAATTCTTCTCATAAACTGAAATTGAAGTAGCACGTCAACAATGGATTGCCCATGTGCAACGCTATCTTTCATATTTGTGGCCGGATTTTTACGATTTTAACAGAAGTTGCATCTTATAAATGGGAAATGAATGCAAGTGGAAATGCGCTTTATGTAAATCGTTTACGATTACTTTTTAACTTTTGGATTTATGCTCACACAATACAACATGTATACTTTTTAGTGCATTTTTGAGAATTTAAAAAAATGTGCTATTGTTTGAGTTTTGTCCGTCCGTCCGGCACCCTTCTGAGTTTTTTACTACTACTTTTAGGGGAATTATACGGAATCTTTTGCAATAGGTCGCCGTCGCCCATACCTTGAATGTGTGGACAGCCATCTAATTTTGTAGCCTGAGGGAGGCTCTTTCTGAAAGTGAAGTGAAACATTCACATGCGACGACCAAATAAAACTTTTAAAAGAGGAGGGAGGGGGCACCCCACGTTCTACCCTTCATGGCTTTTGATTGTGTAACTCACTCTTGCTTGTTGGAAAAGTTTTCCAAGTATAATTTTGTAAACAAATCAATTGCATTATATTAGAGTCGCACCTAAGTAATCGCACACACTATGTCTATTTTACTGATTCTGAATCTAATTTTAAATAAATTAATACGGGAGTGCCGCATGGTTCGGTACTTGGCCCTGTGCTCTTTTTGATATATTTTAATGATATTATAAATGTGAGGCACGGGAAAGAATTAATTCTTTAACCCTTTTAAGTAGATGTGAGAATGTTTGTGATTACGCGACCCCTTCACTTGATAATATTAAGGATTGGCTATCCGATAATAAATTGCACATAAATTCAGAAAAATCGCAAACATCATTTCAATAACCCAACACACATACATTTTTTAGGAGTCTATAGTGACCTTGAACTTACGTAATAGATGGTAAAACAATGGCTGCGATTGTTTACCCTAATGCGATAACTCCCTTACTAACATGCGGGTGGTAAAAACCGTAGACGAACTATTTTACGATTGCCTACCATAGAGTTAATTTGGGTGCAAGCATAATCAATTTGACTTCGGATAGTTCCACTACTGTAGAGGGCGGAAACGCATATACGAACCATAGGTGGTGAACACCAGCCACTGAGACGTCCACGGATGGAGAAGAATGCTTCGATGCGATACCATTAGTCAGATCTTGTCGGAGGCTACTACATTTTCTTTGTCGGTACCCACTTCTGAAGCCCCCACAATCATATAAATGTCCCATTTTGGTGGATTTCGATAAAAACCCTCCACAAAACGTACTCCATTTTTGAACGAAGGAGATGATGTGCGCGTTTACAAGGTCTTTTCGACACCATTGAAAGCAATCGGACCAAAACTGAAAAATCACCACGTTAGCAAACCACGCTCGAGGATGCCGCCCAGATGTCGCATTACACCCTCCCACATCTTGTGGCCCGCTCCCTAAAGTTAATAATTACACAGTCCGGTAGGTACACGTACACTCATCGTCTTTCTATAAGCGTTCGTCTGCGGTCTCCTATTTGCTGCAGGCCATGCGGTCAAAGTGAGACGAAAAACTATACGTACATTTTTACAATTACATTTGCAAAAATGCGCCAAAAACTTTTTTCAAATTTGGTGCCGTTTTATACGTTTCCTGTGTGTGCAGTATAGTGTTTGTATTTATAACTTTATAAGGCATCTTTGAACTATATTCTGACTTTTTATTTATTTATTTATTTTTAAGGGCTTTTCAGAACCTTGCCCATTTTGCCCCTACGATTAGATATTAGCAGATATTGTTTCACGCTCTGATAAGAGAAGTGATAGTCTGTGCTTATATTTTCCATTCGATTACAGTTTGGTTTGTGTGGTATTTGTTTGAAACCGACGTATTTTTACAATTACTTTTCTTTTGATCTTACAAACATTCATGCTAAATTCCATGCGCGAGTCCATTTTGAATTCTTCAATGACTTGTAACAGGGCTTTTATGGGTGTTTTATTGCCTGCATATACACTCTGTGTCCAAGATAAGCAATAAGCATGTCTAGCATAGGGATCTGATAGCTGATTTTCTTTTAATTTTACTACTTCAACACAAAAAATCTTGTGCCATTGCCGCGTGGTGTCAGTCTTTCGGATCGCCTGGATTCCTGTGGGTACAGTTAATGAAAGTAGAGTCACTCTCTTCATTATACCACCGGAGTAACAAACCGTCGGCGACTGACGCTGATATTTTATTTTGAAAATCAGTCACATATTGTAAGAATTAACTTATTTCATCCATTATTAAATAATTTCTCCGAAATGAGGGTAATTTCTTTTGGTTTTATTGGCAGGCAGTTGGAAACCAATACGTTGTGGTTATTGGATTGGATTGCTCTTACATTTTAGGAAAAGTGAAGTTCAGGGTGAAGTTTCATTGATAACACAATTTATTAAATTCTAATGCAATGAGGTGGAAATTTATGAAATGGAAAGTTCTGTTAATTAATTTACTCAATTTCAGAGCTA